TAATGTTTATTTACAGGGTTTATAAAACTGAAAAAAGGCTAAGTGCTTTAATTTCCAAGAATCTCATCCAAATTACACCCCTGTGGTGAGTGTTCAGAAGCTCTGGCCCCTCATATCCTTGACAGCCCAGTTCAAGTGCTTGCTCTACTTGCCACAGTTTCCTCCAGCACTGTGCTTTTGACTACTTAGGTTCAGAAGGGACCAAAGGAGTTTTCTGAATTCTCCCAGTCACTAGAAAACCTAAGATTGGAGGGAAAGTAGTTATGCTGGAAGATATTCTGAGAGATAGCCCTGAGATTTCTCTTGACCGTTATTGAGGCACCATCACCAAAGGGTTTCTTCTCCTAAGCATCTTCTCTCTGGGGATGGCATGTTCACACATGCTGTGCTCTTTATCTTACATACACATGGTGTATAAAAATGAATTGTGTCTTTAGTTTGTGCCTATGAATTAGTGATCGTTGAGGCTTAGAATTCATTCTCCTCTGTGTTAACTCTGAGGTTGGCAAAGTATCATCTGTGACCCCAATCCAGCCAAACAACAAACTGAACAGAATGTATAGCCAAGAGGATTATTTTACATATAGGATAGAAAAACTTTCCCTCAACAACGACCTATGTGAGGTCTTGTGATTGGATACATCTGAAAAGTGGTACTAACCTCCATTCAGAAGTTGTTTGCATCCCCTATATGTTCACCTGGTGTGCTGTTAGCCTACTTTGGGAATATAGTCTTAAAGCTATTTTCTTCCCTAGAGTACATCTTATACATCACTGCCTTTACTCCTCATAAGCCCAAGAGAACCAGATGGCCAGAACAGAAGATCTGAGGAGAAAACTTCAGCTAGAGACAGGACCACCACCTTAATGTCGGAACTCTAGTTTGTCCCCTTACCAAGGCATTCAACCACCTAGTCAACAGCTAGTTTCCCTGGTAACATTGCTGAACTCTGATTGGCAACGTCTTCAAAGAGCAGGCACACTGATTGGTGAGATGTAAAGCACATGTGTGCTTCTCAAGTCTTGATACTACCTTTTATACAAAGGCTTCGAAGGTGGAGGCTGTCAGTGCTGCCAGCAGCTGGTAATCACCTTGGTAGAATGCCAAGATTTGTTTTCAACATGAGTTCCTCAGATGTTGAGCTGTCTTTTAGGGAGCATATCTTGGCCCAGGGTA